GGCACTTTCTTTCCCTTTATCTATTCTTCCCTTCCCTTCCCTTTTCTTTTCTTTCGTTTTCTCTTTTTTTTTTTTTCTTTCCCTTCCCTTCCTTTTTTTTTTTTCTTTTCTTTTTGTCTTTTTATATGAGGTGTGCATGAGGTGCATGAGGCATACACCTCAAGCACACCTCATGAAAAAAGCATATGAGGTGTATGCCTCTTGCACCTGAGGCGTTCGCCTCAGAGGTGTCAGCGCCTTAGGGCGTTTTGGGGGTGCCTCACCTGGAGGTGCGCCTCTAGGCATATGCCTCCCGTGTATGTATCCATTCTTTTGCCACAATTAATAAAAGTTAACCTTTCCAACCTTTCCAATCTAAAAACATTTGTTTAAACATTCTTGAATCACATACTTGGAAAAGTTTCTTTACATATATAAGAAATTGAAAGAAGTGCCAATGCAAACCTCTAGATTGTGGTTGCCTACTATACTCTACCATCCAGTTTTCTCCACTATTTCCCTTTGTATGTTGCTTTGGGTAACTGAGATTTGAATCTGCAAACCATGGCCTAATATTAGCTAGCCAACCCCTTTGATTGAAAGAAGGCCAGATGCCTTCAAGACTCTAAGCTTTGAGGTCTAGGGACAAAGTGGGCTTACCTTAGTTGTTAGGATTTCCTAAATTTGTTGTTGTTGCTGTTGTTGTTATTATTATTACAGTGTTGTGGTTACTCTATAACCAAGATCACACAGTTTAAACTTGAGGAATTTGGCCTTTTTGGTTTGTAGATATTAAGGTCCTTTCTATTTTCTGTTTCTCGAATGTAGTTACAAGTGAAATTATGGACCTGTTTGGCCACTCTATTTCTCTGTAAATATGGTTTAACTCTCATAATAGAATGCTATTCTGAGACGAAAATAGAAAAGACCCTCTTATAAAGAGAGTACCAAGATCCTAATGTGAAAAGGAATAACAATGAAGGATGAAGGGAAAATCCATGAAGCAAATTGGAACCAAACTTTTATTACTAAGGAGGGGGGGCTTGGGCATCAGGAAAATCAAAATGTTTAATGAAGCTTGTGGTGGAGAAGCTTGATTGCAGAAAAATCCGGAGTTACACCCAAGGGGGAACTGGACTTTGGGTGATACTCTTCTTATGGTTGCTCAATTTAGAAAGGAATTCTGAAATACAGTAGAAACTTTCTGAACAGTATTTCCTTCAGAGTGGGGACTGGCGATGGGTTGAGCTTTTGGCATGATAATTGGTGTGTGGATATCTCTTTTGTAGGATGTGTACCCTGATATTTTCTTGTTAACTGAGAACTGAAGCTCTAGTGGTTGACTCCTACCAATTGTTTGGAGGCCAGGTGGTGTGAGCACCTAAATTGAGGAGGCACTGCCATGACTGGGAATTAGCTGACTTGCTAGATCTACTCCAACAGTTGGGTAATCAGAATTTATGGCCAGGTTGATGATGAGTGGTTCTGGAAAAGGGAAAAGAGTGGTCTCTTCTCAGTCAAATCTTTTGTGAGAACTCTTAGCAGTACCCACAATGTTCACTTCCCCTTTCCTCTGGCTTGGAGTCCCTTAATTCTATCCAAGGTTGGGTGGGTTCCTGTTGTGGTCTGCCACTTTTGAGAAATGCCTCATCATGACCTCTTTGCAAATCAGAGAGGTGCAGATTACCGATCAGAATTGTGAGTTCTGCAACTAGGACATGGAACATGTCAATCACCTCTTTTTTCATTGCCAGACAGCCTATAAAATCTGGGATTATTTTATTGGTGCAGCATAGGTGACCTAGGTAATGCCATGAATCCAGCTGGGGCTACTAAGGGCCTAGCATAGACCTGGGTGTACTGCCAAAGGAAACTTCATTTAGCACCTTGTCCCTGCAACCATCACCTGGACAATTTGGTCCAGAAGAAACAGAAGTCTTCTCCCAAAGATCAAGATGTGTGGAGGATCTGATCAATGTAGTGATTGGCAGAATTGGATCCTAGGTATCTGTGTCCAAAGAGTTTGCTGATTTGCTCATGACCCATCTTTGTAATGGTTTAATGTTGTCGAATGCTTGATGTTCCTGTGGGGGGTTCTGTCTGGTGAGCTGCCTGCTGCCCTGCCTTTCTGTTGTGCCATTTGGCCTCATAATAATAAGATCTTACTTTACCTTTTTTCCAAAAAAGGAATAGCAATCAACTAGTGGATTTCTACAGATTGGGATGAATTTACTCCAAGGGACAAAGAACATACCTATCAATTTGGTTAACCCTGAATAGCACCCCCAAGTATGTATGTCCTGCTTGCAGTAAGGTTAAGAATTAAGATTATCAAGAGAAATAAACATAGAACAGAGGGCTTTTGCTCCATTCCTTCACATTAGGATCTTGAATGTCACTCTCTTTTATTATAGGTAATTCTTTTATTAGAGTGTGGTATTTTGAGAGGAAATCCAATTAACTCAAAAAACAACATCCACTTGTCTAACATCAGGCCCCTTACCTTCTTAATTCTACATTGTTTTAAAATTGGGAAGCACAAATGTGTTAGATGGACTCTTCTAAATGGATGATGTGTTTGGTTCTGGCACTCCATTGGTTCTTGAGGGACACTTCTACCGTTCTACTTAACCATTTCATTCTTATCGTTTATCTTATTTAACATAATGAACAGTTAATGCACAACATGAATGTCTTTTTTTTATCAAATATTACATAGCAAAAAAAGCAACATTTTAGACCCCCTTTTTTGTAGGTATATAATGTTAAAACTTAAAAATATGAACTATTTTAATAATACATACTTTTCCATAGATGTGTCCATGAGTCTACATTTTCTTGTATTGCAAAGTTATACTCTTTGAGTATATCTTTCTTTTGATTAATACACTTTTACTTTACCTCTTCAAAACAAAAGTCATACTCTTTGACATGTGTAGATTCTGATTCCCATATCTGTGTCCAATGTCCATGCAACACTGCACAAGTGAAGTGCAA